TCAGCAGAAGTAGAGCGTGTAGAGGTATGCCTATTTAGTACCTCAAACCCGCCCCAACATCATCATCATCATCATCATCATCATCATCATCATCATCATCATCATCATCATCCAGTGCCAGATCTGCGACAGACATCGGCGATCATGATTTTCCATTCATTCCTTTGCTCGGATGCTCTCAGAAAAGCTACGTTTCCCTGATCTTTCCCTGTTACCCATTTGTTTAGGTTCCCTAAGTATGTTGTTCTGGGCCTACCCCTGCCTCGCTTGCCCTCAATTTTGCCAGTGAGAGCTAGATGTTCAAGACCCTTATGTCTATTCAGGTGTTCCAAAAACTGCATTTGTCGTTTTCTGATTGTTTTTAACATTGAGCGTCCCACGTGGGCTTCATCAAGCACTACCTCATTTGATTTCTTTTCCTTCCACGATACTCTTAGCAGTCTCCTAAGAAACCACATTTCTGTTGCCTCTCCCGCCCCAACAAAGAACAAAAAAACGGAGTGGTGTGGGGGTGGGGGTGAGAAATGAATAAATGCGGAAAATCGGTGATGACTAAAAACATCAGAAAACGTACCATCCCCCCCTACCCCCTACACAACCACACACACACACACACACACACACACACACACACACAGAGAGAGAGAGAGAGAGAGAGAGAGAGCGAGAGAGACGCGCGCACACGCAAAACAACCCCACCCCAATACCGGTGAATTTCGTATTGATTAGCTGCACGATCTGCACTTAAAACAACAGACCCATCTATCAAAAACACCTTCTGGTGACATGTACCGAGGACATAAAGAGGAACATGAGTACGTAGAAGGAGATTTTTAAAAAAGGCAAACTTTTTATTTTTATTTTACAAAATTCAGGTGATGTTATGAAACTGAGGACAAGAAGTCAAGGAAAGGAGGTTCAGTTTTAGTTTAGTTTTAGTAAGTGTTTTACGGCACTTGCAACACAATAAAGTCATATAAGTGCCGAAGATTAGAGGTGTTACAAGTGAGCAACAAACACAAAAAAGGAGGAGGGGAGATAAAGACGACAGATGTTTGATAGGAAAGAAGGAGCAAACCACACCAGAGCACCCGCCAACCACCCACTAAAGGGGTTCAGAGAAAAGCACACATAATGTATGATCTTCACAGCAAAGGTAATAAGTAAGTAAAACTACTTGTTCAACAAGCATGGTGGAGCGTGGGAAATACAAGACGGCGACAACAAAGATACAACACAGTAGCAATATAAGAAAGTCTGTGTTTGTGTTTGTGTGTGTGTGGTGGGTGTGTGTGTGGGGGGGGGG